AAAGTTTTGTGAGACCAGCAGGTGGCATAGTGGTTACGGCGCTGGACTCCCACACAACCTAGTCACAGACCCCGGGGTTTGACAATCACGCCAGTCGCGTGTGCTTGCATGCCCTAAATCCCAAGAGGAGAATGGAGAAGGGACTGCACTGTGGCTATCCCCCCTGGGAGGTTTTTCACACTTTCCCTTTCATTGTCTCTTCTTAACTCTCTTTGGCAAGTGCCCGCACCCTATGGCAAAAACCCGAAGAAAAAAAAAAAGATATTTTTTTTTTTGCTGTAGGGTGTATGTGCTCATTAGAGTGAGGTGTGGGGTTGGGGAGGGATGACCACATCACAGTCCCTTCTCCTCCATCCTCAGGATTTGGGGCACACAGCTGCTGGAGGACTTCAACTGTCCATCTGGCCCCGTGGGAGCCAGAGCCTTCACCTCCAGGCTGCCTGCTGCCCCTAGGAGTGTCTACTTCCTCCCTCTGCTGCCACCACCCTGCCCTGCTGCTGTCTCCTGCCTGGACAACGAAGCTACCTCCTTTCTCGCCTCCTCCCTTCTCAACTCCTGTCCTGCCTGTCTGCTCTCCACACAGCAGGCAGGGGAAGCTTTATTTATTTATTTATTTTTAAATAATTATTTTTATTAATTTTATTTATTTATTTAATTTGACCAAAGAGGGATAGAGCGAGACAGTGCGTGCCCTTAATCACACTCCACTTGCCAGCCTCAAGGGGGAGCTTTTTAAACCTAAGTCCGGGGCCAGTGGGTGGTTAGGGCACTGGATTCTCACATGGCTGGCCATGGGTGGAGTCCTGGACATGGCGGCTTGCTTTCTCATTTTCCCTTTCTCTGTCTCTCTCTGGTCAAATTAAAATAAAAAACAATAATAATGAAGTAATTCTATAACAACACCTAAGTCTGAACGTGCTCTGGCCTATGGTGCTGGGCCTGCCCGGCCCGCGTCTTGCCCTTGCCTCACTCGAGCCCCTCGTGCAGGACTTGCAGCCAGGCCGCCTCCTTCCTTGGAAAGGGCCAGGCTCGCTCCCGTTTCTGGGCCTTCTCTTCCAGTCCCGTTGCCTGG